AGGGGGACAGAAGTTCACTGGAACAGATTTGGGAGGCAAGGAGGGTACATGAAGGAATGGGTAGGGTGGTCATGGGGGTGCAGAAGGGGATGGGAGGAATACAGTAGGGAAAAGAGGGGGGTAGAAGGAGAGAGGGATATTGAGGGGTAGCATAGGGCGGGGGGGCAGAAGTGTACGGGAACAGATTGGGTGTTCAGGATTTGATGGAGAGAAAGAGAGGGGGCAGGAGGGATGAAGGAATTCAGAAGGAGATGAAGAAGAAGCAGAGAAGAGAGAGATTTGGGGGGAAGCATAGGGCAGGGGGACAGAAGTGTACTGGAATAGACTGGGGGTTCAAGATTTGATGGGGAGCAGGGGGGGAGTAGGAGGGGCAGGAGGGGATGGGAGGTAAAAGGAGAGAGGGATATTGGGGGATATCATAGGGCAGGGGGACAGAAGTGTACAGGAATAGATTGGGGGTTCAAGATTTGATGGGGAGAAGGGGGGTAGGAGGGGCAGAAGGGATAGAAAAAGGGATGGGAGGTAGAAGGAGATTGGGAGTAGCATAGGGCAGGGGGACAGAAGTGTACAGGAACAGATATGGGAGGCAGGGAGGGTACATGAGGGAATGGGTAGGAGGGAAGAGTTTAGGGCATGGGGGGAGGGGGCAGAAGGGGATGGGAGGAATACAGAAGGGAATGGGGGGACGTAGAAGGTGAGAAGGATATTGGGGGGTAGCATAGGGCAGAGAGGCAGAAGTATATGGGGACAAATTGGAGGTCCGGGATAGGACAGGGAGAAGGGGGGGGGGGAGGAGGGGGATGGGAAGAATACAGAAGGGAATTGAGGGGGGTAGAAGGTGAGAAGGATATTGGGGGGTATAGGGCAGAGAGGCAGAAGTGTACGGGGACAGATTGGGGGTCTGGGATAGGATGGGGGGGGGGAGCAGGAGGGGATGAAGGAATGTAGAAGAGGATGAGGGATAAAATGAGACTGAGGGCAGCATAGAGTAGGGGGACAGGAGGCAATGAGGGAAGGGAAACCGTCACTAATTATGAAACTGCTCTGACTTCCTGCTGAACCTTCACATCTCTGGACTGCCGATAATTTGTCGAAATTTGAACCTTGAGGTTTCCGTTCTTCTATTTTGGGCTGCAGCCAGATCAGAGAGGCTAAGAAAAGACACATAAAAAGTCGGTTTACAATTCGAGCCGTCTAACGACACAGATAATTCTGGAGATGAAGACATCTGGAATGATGCTTCTGCTGAGATAGATAATTCTGCAACTGCCATTTATTGCCAACTGCCATTTATCACCTCCTTCAGTGAAAAACGATGACAGGAGCCAATGAGTTTTCAGCGTGCTGCACTGGAAAACGTTATTTGTAGCATTTCTGTATGAAGTTCCCTAAAAACGAGATATTCGGGACCTGCCAGGGGCTAAAGGTGAATGGCGAACGTTACCGGAATCTTCCACAGGCTTTGTATAACTTCCTCCATAGCCAGCCGTGCATCTCATCTGCTGAGATTTCCATTGCAGCTCCCAGTGATTTATTGTCTTGACCTCTTGAGCACCTTATGTACTGACCTCCCAACATCCTGACAGAACAAGGAGGGGCCCCTACCGGTACAACGTATGGAAGCGGACAACACGCTCCTGTCACAGCCTCCATTATATCCACCACCAGAAATGAATACACAAAAAAATTTGATTGGTTAAACCCACGGGCACTTTTTCACCATGGCTCTTCATTCAAACTGGCTTTTCCATATGACAACTCCAATAACATGGAGGTTGGATGAAGGTTTACTGAGCCTGCCCATACATGGTTCTTGCTGAACTGGTCGAGATTTGAACCATCTATGGCCGGATTTAGTGTTGTGTAGCGCCCTCTAGGTAGATAGAATTTTTTTATTGTTAGAGGCTTGTTAGAAGCCTGGGATGAGTAAGCCTGGGAGTGAGGCAATGAGGTTACCTCCGCCAGGCTGGGAGGCTTTACAGGTGAGGGCTTCCGGAGCCCTCCCACCCTTCTAGAAACTACAGAAAAGGAAGAGGGTAGGAGGCCTGGATTTGCATGTTTAGGGGAACCTAGCCAATCCCCAGGCAGGAGGTCTGGCATGGTGACTAAGACAACCCTTAAATGTGAGAGATCCCGTACAGCAGAGGAGTAGTGTGTGCTGGAGTCGGGTGGAAGATGGAATGAAGGAAGGTGCTGGAGCGTGAAGCCTGGCAGGGGACCTCAAGGAAGGGGGGGGCTACCTGCTTTCTGAAACAGACAGAAGGATCTTCACTGCCCTATAGTCTCCTAGGGTGGACAACCTGTCAGCAGGGAAGGAGCCAGCCCATCATAAGGCCTGAAAGCAGCTGCAACCCACTAAGCTACAAGACAGGACAGTGTGAGAAGTTCTACACTACTTCGGCCACAGAAGGTAGAGAACGGTCAGGTGCAATACCCAACTAGTTCTCATCTGGGACTACCCTGCAGTAGATTTTGAAAACCCTTGCCCAAAGATATGCTCAGGACATCCGGGTGGATGAGGAAAAGTTCATCTATGGTCTGAGGAGGTACACAAAAAGGGGACTCAGTGCTCCTTAATAAGAGTGTTGCTAATTTTTGGTCCGCACTTTTTGTGAAGTTGTCCTCATGTTTTACATTTCCTTGGGCATCCCATATACCCCTAGACCTGATGAAATTGGGTCCCCCTATAGTCCTGCACAGCCAGTCAGTTAGCATTTTCCACTCAAGCTTTCATCCGTAGACAGGAATCAGGCCTTGAGCATTGGTTTTTGGTATTTTATTGAGGGAATTAAACTTGGATGCAGTAAGGGGTGTATATGATGACCAAGGGAACCAAAATCTGAGGACAACTGAACTATTCACAGCTTCTCTTCTCTGACACAGTCTCTGTTGGAGTGCCAGCCAGCAGCTCCAGTTGTACTACTGTAGACCCTAGATGAACTCCTCTTCACCCAGCAATCTGGAGACTTTCTTCCTGAGGATGGGATCTGGCTCCTGTACCTCTAAATGGGTAACAGTCACTAGCAGAGGGCTAATCTGGTTTCCCACCAGAGTGCTCCTTCCCCTATCTGCCCAGGGTGTGCAGATCTACTTACTCAGATCCTCTCCTGTACTGCTTGCAGAATGGCTGCTGCTACCTATCAGCTGGTCAGCTCCTTCCCTGCCATACAGGTGGTCCTCTCTCAGGGGGTCAGTGAGTCCTCCTTTCAGGCTTCAGGCTCACAGGCAGGCCTCATCTCACTAGGCCTCCTGGCAGCCTTCCTCCTCCAGTCTCACATCTTCCTGCTCCTCACTCTCCCATCACCCTCTCCTGCTACTGAGCAGGCTCCAACACATTTTAAGGGAGTCCCAGCCCCTTGCCAAGCCTCCTGTTGAGGATGGGCTTAGGTCACTCAAAAGTGCAGCCAACCCCTCCTCAGATCCACCCAACACCTCCAAGGCCCTCCTCCAAAAGCCTCAGAGCAGGGGGAAAATCCAGAGGGTCTGGCCTGCAGAGTCTCTCAGTCCTGACCACAATTTGACCCCTCTGGCTATCTCACCTGAGCTGCTAGCCAGCTCCTGACCAACCACTGAGATCTAGCTCCCCCTAGATAAACTAGGAGGGTGCTACACTTAACTATTTTCCCCTTCGCAGAAGAAGGAATAGGGAGAGAACTGGCAGCAACCCATTGAAGTAAGAGCTGGGTGGGTCAGCCAGTGTCTGCAGTCAGCCCTCCGCAGTCCGCGGGCCATGTTTGAAGAGGGTGCATAACGGGAAGCGCCACCTTCTGGCACTTGTGAGCCTGGTCAGGAGGAGGAGGCGATTAATGATGAAGTTCTGGAGCAGTAAAGTGATGGGCAGGGGTAGAACAAGAAGGGATTTACACAGCAACCTCTCAAATTCTATCAGGTTGGATGGGGAACGTCGGCACACAGCCATTTTCAGATCTCTCCAGAGATGTTCAATCGGGTTCAAGTCTGGGCTCTGGCTGGGCCACTCCAGGACATTCACAGTGTTGGCCCGTAGCCACTCCTTTGTGATGTGGGCTGTGTGCTTGGGGTAATTGTCCTGCTGAAAGACGACCCGTCGCCCCAGTCTAAGGTCCGGAGCGCTCTGGAACAGGTTTTCATCAAGGATGTCTCTGTACATTGCTGCATTCATCTTTCCTTCCATCCTGACTAGTCTCCCAGTTCCTGCCACTGAAAAACATCCCCACGGCATGATGCTGCCACCACCATGCTTCACTGTAGGGATGGTATTGGCCAGGTGGTGAACGGTACCTGGTTTCCTCCAGACATGACGCTTGACATTCAGGCCAAAGAGTTCAATATTTGTTTCATCAGACCAGAGAGTTTTATTTCTCATTGTCCGCGAGTCTCTCAGGTGCCTTTTGGCAAACTCCAGACGGGCTGCCATTTGCTTTTTACTGAGGAGTGGCTTCCGTCTGGCCACTCTACCATACAGGCCTGATTGGTGGAGTGCTGCAGAGATGGTTGTTCTTCTGGAAACTCTGGAGCTCTTTCTGAGTGACCATCGGGTGCTTGGTTACCTCCCTGGCTAAGGCCCTTCTCCCTCGATTGCTAATTTTGGCCAGGCGCCCTCTCTAGGAAGATTCCTGGTAGTTCCAAACGTCTTCCATGTACGGATGATGGAGGCCACTGTGCTCATTGGGACCTTCAATGCTGCAGAAATGTTTCTCTACCCTTCCCCAGATCTGTGCCTTGATACAATCCTGTCTCGGAGGTCTACGGACAATTCCTTGGACTTCATGGCTTTGTTTGTGCTGTGCCATGCACTGTGACCTGTGGGACCTTCTATAGACAGGTGTATGCCTTTCCTAATCATGTCCAATCAACGGAATGTCCCACAGGTGGACTGCAATCAACTGAATGTCCCACAAGTGGACTCCAATCAACTGAATGTCCCACAGGTGGACTCCAATCAACCGAATGTCCCACAGGTGGACTCCAATCCACTGAAGTTCCCACAGGTGGACTGCAATCCAATGAATGTCCCACAGGTGGACTCCACTCAACTGAATGTCCCACAGGTGGACTCCAATCAACTGAATGTCCCACAGGTGGACTCCAATCAACTGAATGTCCCACAGGTGGACTCCAATCAACTGAATGTCCCACAGGTGGACTCCAATCAACTGAATGTGCCACAGGTGGACTCCAATCCACTGAACGTCCCACAGGTGGACTCCAATCCACTGAATTTCCCACAGGTGGACTTCAATCAACTGAATGTCCCACAAGTGGACTCCAATCAACTGAACGTCCCACAGGTGGACTCCAATCAACTGAACGTCCCACAGGTGGACATCCAATCCATTGGATGTCCCACAGGTGGACTCCAATCCACTGAATGTCCCACAGGTGGACTCCAATCAACTTGTGGAAACATCTCAAGGATGATTAGTGGGCACAGGATGCCCCGGAGCTCAATTCTGAGTGTCATGGCAAAGGCTGGGAATACTTATGTACATGGGGGGGGGGGGGGCTGGGAATACTTATGTACAAGGGGGGGGGGGGGTTGGGAATACTTATGTACATGTGTGGGTTTTTTTTTTTTTTTTTTAATATTCTATTTTTAATAAATTGCAAAGGTTTCAAAACAATCTTCTTTCCCGTTGTCACTAAAGGATATTGTTTGTAGAATGTGGAGGAATTCCATTCTGGAATAAGGCCGCAACATGACAAAAATGTGTCAAAAGTGAAGCTGGGAATACTTTCTGGATGGGCTGTAAAACATTAAAAAAAATCGCAAATTTCCGAAAAAATACGAAATGCAAAGATTCGGTTTTATTTTTGGATCCGGCCCTCCCGCTGCACTGGCCGGTCACTGCAGAGGAGATTGTACCATCATATTATAGAGACAGCGCTCCCGACTCACCAGACGAGCCGTAAAACAGGAAACACATCGATCCGGTGAATATTGATCGATGATAATGACTGATTATGGGAAACCCCACCTCTTGGCAGTTAAACCTTTTTTTTATTACCGCCCCAATCCATGAATGACCTTCTTCACACGGTGGAGGAGATAAGGAGGCGTTATCAGGGATCAATAACAGATCGATGGACTCGTCTGCACTCGTTGGTGTAAAGTCGCTCATAGATGGTGATAAGAGTGACAGTAGCCGAGGAGAGCCGCGTCGCACCCAGACGGTTGTGTGAAAGAAAAATATGCAGGACACACTCCATGCAGCTGTGGTCTGATTAGAGGGTTCAGGAAAAATTCGGCAATGTCAGTGCAAGCAACTGGACCTGTGCAGAGCGGAAACGTGTGTTTAGTTTTGATTCGGATCGATTCATTAAGTTACTCATTTCCAGGGGAGGACTGACAACTCATAGGGCCCCTGGGCAATAGGGGATCATGGGGCCCCCGTGTCCTCACCCACACTTAAAACCACACCCAAAAAAAGCCTATGAAAGGTACTAAGGGCATCTCATGGGGCCCCTGGGCAATAGGGGATCTTTCTATTTTATTATATTCTATTTTGTTTTCTATTCTATTCTATTATTTTCCATTCTATTCGAATCCATTTTTTCTAGTCTATTCTATTCTTATATGTTCTGTTCTGTTTAATTCAAATTCATTCTATTCAAAATTTTAATTTCTGAAGACACTTGTATTCTTTATATTTTATTCTATTGTATTGTCCCACAGGTGGACTCCGATCAACTGAATGTGCCACAGGTGGACTCCGATCAACTGAATGTCCCACAGGTGGACTCCGATCAACTGAATGTCCCACAGGTGGACTCCGATCAACTGAATGTCCCACAGGTGGACTCCGATCAACTGAATGTGCCGCAGTTGGACTCCAATCAACTGAATGTCCCACAGGTGGACTCCAATCAACTGAATGTGCCACAGGTGAACTTCAATCAACTGAATGTACCACAGGTGGAATCCAATCAACTGAATGTCCCACAGGTGGACTCCAATCAACTGAATGTCCCACAGATGGACTCCGATCCGAACTGAATGTCCCACCGGTGGACTCCGATCAACTGAATGTCACACAGGTGGACTCCGATCAACTGAATGTGCCACAGATGGACTTCAATCAACTGAATGTACCACAGGTGGAATCCAATCAGCTGAATGTCCCACAGGATGACTCCAATCACCTGAATGTCCCACAGGTGGACTCCAATCACCTGAATGTCCCACAGGTGGACTCCAATCCACTGAATATCCCACAGGATGACTCCAATCCACTGAATGTCCCACAGGTGGACTCCAATCAACTGGATGTCCTAGAGGTGGACTCCAATCAACTGGATGTCCCACAGGTGGACTGAAAACCACTGAAGTCCCGCAGGTGGACTCCAATCAACTGAACGTCCCACAGGTGGACTCCAATCCACTGAATTTCCCACAGGTGGACTTCAATCAACTGAACGTCCCACAGGTGGACTCCAATCCACTGAACGTCCCACAGGTGGACTCCAATCAACTGAAGTTCCCACAGGTGGACTCCAATCCACTGAATGTCCTACAGGTGGACTCCAATCAACTGAATGTCCCACAGGTGGACTCCAATCAACTGAATGTCCCACAGGTGGACTCCAATCAACTGAATGTCCCACAGGTGGACTCCAATCAACTGGATGTCCCACAGGTGGACTCCAATCAACTGGATGTCCCAGAGGTGGACTCCAATCAACTGGATGTCCCACAGGTGGACTCCAATCCACTGAATTTCCCACAGGTGGACTCCAATCAACTGAAGTTCCCCCAGGTGGACTCCAATCTACTGAATGTCCCACAGGTGGACTCCAATCAACTGAAGTTCCCACAGGTGGACTCCAATCCACTGAATGTCCTACAGGTGGACTCCAATCAACTGAATGTCCCACAGGTGGACTCCAATCAACTGAATGTCCCACAGGTGGACTCCAATCAACTGAATGTCCCACAGGTGGACTCCAATCAACTGGATGTCCCAGAGGTGGACTCCAATCAACTGGATGTCCCACAGGTGGACTCCAATCCACTGAATTTCCCACAGGTGGACTCCAATCAACTGAAGTTCCCCCAGGTGGACTCCAATCTACTGAATGTCCCACAGGTGGACTCCAATCAACTGAATGTCCCACAGGTGGACTCCAATCAGCTGAATGTCCCACAGGTGGACTCCAATCAACTGAATGTCCCACAGGTGGACTCCAATCCACTGAATTTCCCACAGGTGGACTCCAATCCACTGAATTTCCCACAGGTGGACTCCAATCCACTGAACGTCCCACAGGTGGACTCCAATCCACTGAATTTCCCACAGGTGGACTTCAATCAACTGAACGTCCCACAGGTGGACTCCAATCAACTGAACGTCCCACAGGTGGACTCCAATCAACTGAATGTCCCACAGGTGGACTCCAATCTACTGAATATCCCACAGGATGACTCCAATCAACTGAATGTCCCACAGGTTGACTCCAATCAACTGGATGTCCCAGAGGTGGACTCCAATCAACTGAATGTCCCACAGGTGGACTCCAATCAACTGAACGTCCCACAGGTGGACTCCAATCAACTGAACGTCCCACAGGTGCACTCCAATCCACTGAATTTCCCACTGGTGGACTTCAATCAACTGAAGTTCCCACAGGTGGACTCCAATCCACTGAACGTCCCACAGGTGGACTCCAATCCACTGAATTTCCCACAGGTGGACTCCAATCCACTGAACGTCCCACAGGTGGACTCCAATCCACTGAAGTTCCCCCAGGTGGACTCCAATCAACTGAATGTCCCACAGGTAGACTCCAATCAACTGAATGTCCCACAGGTGGACTCCAATCAAGTTGTGGAAACATCTCAAAGATGATTAGTGGGAAAGGGGTGCCTGGATTTCAATTCTGAGTGTCATGGCAAAGGCTGGGAATACTTATGTACATGGGGGGGGGGGGGCTGGGAATACTTACATACATGTGTGGGGGTTTTTTTTAAATAATATTTTATTTTTAATATATTGCAAGATTTGAAAACGAACTTCTTTCTTTGTCATTATGGGGATTGTTTGTAGAATGTGGAGGAATTCCATTCTGGAATAAGGCCGCAGCATGACAAAATGTGTCAAAAGTGAAGCTGGGAATACTTTCTGGATGGGCTGTAAAACATTCAAAAAATCGCTAATTCCGAAAAATACGAAATGCGAAGATTCGGTTTTATTTTTCGATCCGGCCCTCCCGCTGCACTGGTCGGTCCTGGCAGAGGAGATTGTACCATCAGATTATAGAGACAGCGCTCCCGACTCAGCAGACGAGCCGTAACAAAAAACACATCGAGACGGTGAATTTCGATCAATGATAATGACTGATTGTGGGAAACCCCACCCCTCGGCAGTAAAACTTTTTTTTTATTACCGCCCCAATCCATGAATGACCTTCTTCACACGGTGGAGGAGATAAGGAGGCGTTATCAGGGATCAATAACAGATCGATGGCCTCGTCTGCACTCGTTGGTGTAAAGTCGCTCATAGATGGCGATAAGAGTGACAGTAGCCGAGGAGAGCCGCGTCGCACCCAGACGGTTATGTGGAAGAAAAATATGCAGGACACACTCCATGCAGCTGTGGTCTGATTAGAGGGTTCAGGAAAAATTCGGCAATGTCAGTGCAAGCAACTGGACCTGTGCAGAGCGGAAACGTGTGTTTAGTTTTGATTCGGATCGATTCATTAAGTTACTCATTTCCAGGGGAGGACTGACAACTCATGGGGCCCCTGGGCAATAGGGGATCATGGGGCCCCCGTGTCCTCACCCACACTTAAAACCACACCCAAAAAAAGCCTATGAAAGGTACTAAGGGCATCTCATGGGGCCCCTGGGCAATAGGGGATCTTTCTATTTTATTATATTCTATTTTTTTTTCTATTCTATTCTATTATTTTCCATTCTATTCAAATCCATTTTTTCTATTCTATTCTTATATGTTCTGTTCTGTTTAATTCAAATTCATTCTATTCGAAATTTGAATTTCTGAAGACACTTGTATTCTTTATATTTTATTCTATTGTATTGTCCCACAGGTGGACTCCGATCAACTGAATGTACCACAGGTGGACTCCGATCAACTGAATGTCCCACAGGTGGACTCCGATCAACTGAATGTCCCACAGGTGGACTCCAATAAACTGAATGTCCCACAGGTGGACTCCAATCAACTGAATGTCCCACAGGTGGACTCCGATCCACTGAATGTCCCACAGGTGGACTCCGATCAACTGAATGTCCCACAGGTGGACTCCGATCAACTGAATGATCCCACAGGTGGACTCCGATCAACTGAATGATCCCACAGGTGGACTCCGATCAACTGAATGATCCCACAGGTGGACTCCGATCAACTGAATGTCCCACAGGTGGACTCCGATCAACTGAATGTCCCACAGGTGGACTCCGATCAACTGAACGTCCCACAGGTGGACTCCAATCAACTGAATGTCCCACAGGTGGACTCCAATCTACTGAATATCCCACAGGATGACTCCAATCAACTGAATGTCCCACAGGTTGACTCCAATCAACTGGATGTCCCAGAGGTGGACTCCAATCAACTGAATGTCCCACAGGTGGACTCCGATCAACTGAACGTCCCACAGGTGGACTCCAATCAACTGAACGTCCCACAGGTGCACTCCAATCCACTGAATTTCCCACTGGTGGACTTCAATCAACTGAAGTTCCCACAGGTGGACTCCAATCCACTGAACGTCCCACAGGTGGACTCCAATCCACTGAATTTCCCACAGGTGGACTCCAATCCACTGAACGTCCCACAGGTGGACTCCAATCCACTGAAGTTCCCCCAGGTGGACTCCAATCAACTGAATGTCCCACAGGTAGACTCCAATCAACTGAATGTCCCACAGGTGGACTCCAATCAAGTTGTGGAAACATCTCAAAGATGATTAGTGGGAAAGGGGTGCCTGGATTTCAATTCTGAGTGTCATGGCAAAGGCTGGGAATACTTATGTACATGGGGGGGGGGGGGGCTGGGAATACTTACATACATGTGTGGGGTTTTTTTTTAAATAATATTTTATTTTTAATATATTGCAAGATTTGAAAACGAACTTCTTTCTTTGTCATTATGGGGATTGTTTGTAGAATGTGGAGGAATTCCATTCTGGAATAAGGCCGCAGCATGACAAAATGTGTCAAAAGTGAAGCTGGGAATACTTTCTGGATGGGCTGTAAAACATTCAAAAAATCGCTAATTCCGAAAAATACGAAATGCGAAGATTCGGTTTTATTTTTCGATCCGGCCCTCCCGCTGCACTGGTCGGTCCTGGCAGAGGAGATTGTACCATCAGATTATAGAGACAGCGCTCCCGACTCAGCAGACGAGCCGTAACAAAAAACACATCGAGACGGTGAATTTCGATCAATGATAATGACTGATTGTGGGAAACCCCACCCCTCGGCAGTAAAACTTTTTTTTTATTACCGCCCCAATCCATGAATGACCTTCTTCACACGGTGGAGGAGATAAGGAGGCGTTATCAGGGATCAATAACAGATCGATGGCCTCGTCTGCACTCGTTGGTGTAAAGTCGCTCATAGATGGCGATAAGGGTGACAGTAGCCGAGGAGAGCCGCGTCGCACCCAGACGGTTATGTGGAAGAAAAATATGCAGGACACACTCCATGCAGCTGTGGTCTGATTAGAGGGTTCAGGAAAAATTTGGCAATGTCAGTGCAAGCAACTGGACCTGTGCAGAGCGGAAACGTGTGTTTAGTTTTGATTCGGATCGATTCATTAAGTTACTCATTTCCAGGGGAGGACTGACAACTCATGGGGCCCCTGGGCAATAGGGGATCATGGGGCCCCCGTGTCCTCACCCACACTTAAAACCACACCCAAAAAAAGCCTATGAAAGGTACTAAGGGCATCTCATGGGGCCCCTGGGCAATAGGGGATCTTTCTATTTTATTATATTCTATTTTTTTTTCTATTCTATTCTATTATTTTCCATTCTATTCGAATCCATTTTTTCTATTCTATTCTTATATGTTCTGTTCTGTTTAATTCAAATTCATTCTATTCGAAATTTGAATTTCTGAAGACACTTGTATTCTTTATATTTTATTCTATTGTATTGTCCCACAGGTGGACTCCGATCAACTGAATGTACCACAGGTGGACTCCGATCAACTGAATGTACCACAGGTGGACTCCGATCAACTGAATGTCCCACAGGTGGACTCCGATCCACTGAATGTCCCACAGGTGGACTCCGATCCACTGAAATGTCCCACAGGTGGACTCCATCAACTGAATGATCCCACAGGTGGACTCCGATCAACTGAATGATCCCACAGGTGGACTCCGATCAACTGAATGATCCCACAGGTGGACTCCGATCAACTGAATGATCCCACAGGTGGACTCCGATCAACTGAATGTCCCACAGGTGGACTCCGATCAACTGAATGTCCCACAGGTGGACTCCGATCAACTGAATGTGCCACAGGTGGACTCCGATCAACTGAATGTCCCATAGGTGGACTCCGATCAACTGAATGTCCCACAGGTGGGCTCGGATCAACTGAATGTCCCACAGGTGGACTCCGATCAACTGAATGTCCCACAGGTGGACTCCGATCAACTGAGTAACCCACAGGTGGACTCCGATCAGCTGAATGTCCCACAGGTGGACTCCGATCAGCTAAATGTCCCACAGGTGGACTCCGATCAACTGAATGTCC